TTTTTACTGACTAAGATCAGCTGTTTCGTCTGTTATGACCATTTATTTAAAGCCCAATGATCAAGGACAGCTGGGTCCAGTTTAGAAACATCAAAAAGCTACACACTTCTCAGGATCGACTCGGCGACCTTTTTACTATTTCTATCTTAAATATTCATGTTCGTTTGTGTGTTTTGGTGATTCACAACCCCAGTGACGAAAATTATTGTTTTGGTAACTTGGTATTTGGAATTCTAATTAACCTTTAGGTTTGAACCCAGTAGCATTCTAGCTGAAAAACAAGTATTTGTAGCCTTCATTGGTATAAATTCACCTTTTAAGATCACAATTTTCCAAACTTCTACGACTGCTTATCTCAGAGTGAAGCTCCACAGTCATACAGCCTGTCTCACGGAAGCTGGACTGTGACGTCACAGTTGTTACGTAGTACATTAATTAGCACAGTTCTCATACCGCTGATCGTCTCACGGATAACTGTGCTGTCTGCACACATAATAGTGCATGAAAATAAATGTGCAATTAAACATGGGTTGAGCATACAACAAGTTGTGTTGATATTCATGGACACTGTAGTAAATTGACTTTGATAGGTCAAGCTATCGTATTTGGTAGAGAGCTTAAATGTTTTCTGTTTTTCAGTTTCTAATTAATTTTCGTTAGAACATAATATGACAACAAGACAAGGGGAAAAGAACAGTGCTTTATATATATATTTCTTATTTCATTCGTTTTTCAAATAGTTGATTTGTTCTTAATATAGTTTTAAATCTTCTACAATATAAATGTACACTAAGTAAGTGTAGGTTGACGGTTTCTCATAATTATCACGTCCCTTTGATAAGAACTGTATATTTCATAATGTGTACACCTGTATTGTTGTTTCTTCAAAAGACATCTAAATTAAATTAACCTTAGAGTTTGTGGATGAACCCATAAAATGCTTGCAAAATCAGTATTTGCTAATTGGATGCAAACCCTGCAAATTTACGGTTTATCGTTAAATCAGCTGATTTGCAGGGTTATTGTCATTCAACAATATTTTAAACCAAATAGTGTCTTATTTACTATCCAAAAATTATTAGTAAATAAAGATTAACATATTTTACCTACGACCATTTTTTAAAGTAGCCGTTTCACTTCAGTTCTTAGAATTGAAAAGTTTCACTTAACAGCTGTTTACTTTCATAACAGCATAGTTTCATTTCATAACAGCATAGTTTTTCTCATAACAACACGGGTAATGGACCAATGAGGTTCAAGGATTGAGAGAAAATAAGTAAAATTGTAATGCTTCGAACGTCAACTAAACAGCTGATCAGTTGACAACTTTAATTGTTGATCCGACTTGTTCTTGTTGATACTCGCGTATTCTTAACCTAAGTTGGTGGAAGATAAAGGAAGGTAGATGAAACTGATTTAAAAATGTCATTTAGTGAAAGTGAAGTTGACGAGGTGGAAATGAGAGGACAAACCGTTTGTGCGAACCTTTTGCCACCGAAATCGAAACAAAGGTATGAAATTACATACCAGCAATTCATTAAATGGACGAAAAAAGAACTATATACGAGGTTTAGAATAAACCAGTACAAATATTTTCCAAAGTAATCAGTACAGGAAAGAAATTTAAATTTCTTAAACTGTACCTAAACTCTATCTTCTCGCGGGGGAAAACTTAATGAACATCATCCAAAACCTAGAAACATTATTTAACTCTACTCGCTTGCATGCAACTACAAAACAAACCGCAAGAATAATACTGGCCAAAGAAGAATGGCCCGAATGAGTTGTAATGGAGGTTTTCAATGGAGGGCATTTGTTTACAGTGACATAACTATATCTTCCTGGATGTGTTGTGATAGCTCGCCATCTTTGCGTTTGTTCTGTAATGGAGGGAGTTTCTTTCACCGCCTTTCTTTCTTGTGTCAGAACTATCTGGGTTAGAGTGAGTTTTTGAAACAGTGTTGAAAGTCAATCATACTTAAGTTGTTGTTGTCGGTTTTTCGTTCGGTTTCGTTCTAGTAGTTTAAAAAACATTGTTCTTCATGGTAAAATGTGTATTATAATTAATCTATATGATTTGCGACCGTGGATTTTATAAGTATGACGTATAATTGTCTAGTGGTTAGAAGATGGAAGTCTTGGGCTCAAAACCCACCAATCACCTAAAAAATATAATAATAAATAAATCTGGAAGGTGATACGTTTCTGTATTGGAGAACTCCCAACACTATAAGCCATACAACCTTTTTTAATAGGTATTATTGTGATCCTAAACTATTAAGGTTACGCTTGTTACATTTAAGAATTCTAAAATTACACAATATCCATTATGCTCTAAAACATTTTATTAAATTTTGCAATAAATCATTGTATGACCTTCATGGAGGTCACTTTTACTACACCAATCGTGTGTTATTTAAATTCTTTCATATTAATTATTCGATATGAAAGCAGAAACATAGCAGAGGCACAAATCAATATAAAGGATAACTGTCTAAATATGGTGCAATAAATGGATTTAGTACTATAAACATTGTACATGAAACAAAACAATATATAAAATCAGTCTAATAAGGAAGAAACGTTAAAAAAGCAATGGTAGTTAAATTAAACCAAATCAGTTAAACCTGCCTATTAATGATTTATAGATATCGACATGTAGCATTGACGTATATTTACTGTAATAATGTACTGGCTTTTTGGGGCACCGCAGTTGTGATGTGTGGAGTGAGCCATTCAAGACGGAAGACTCGTGTCCGAATCCCGTCAAACACAAAAATACTTTTAGCTAAGTGATAATATCGTGACTCGATGCTGATAGTTCGATGACCACATTAAGTTAAAGGTCCATTTACTTATAAACAAAAAATAATAGCAAAGAAGAATCTAAGACTACGAAAATGTTCGCTATGTTGGCAAACTCCCCAGTGAAAAATCCGCAAATTTAGGCTTATGGAATTTCGTAGCCACCTTACTCATCAAATAGCTCTAAAACCTTATCTGACCCACCTGCAAACTTTAAATTCTAAACAATTAGGCTAAGTTTCAGCGACTCAAACGTCGAGAAAAGAATTACACCATCGTGTCTGTAGCCATTAGACTAGTTCGCGTGTCAAAACAGTTTTCACCATAAACAAACGGATGACACAAACGTTGCCATTAGCACCATAAAGATTACGGTAGCCATTGAGGATTGCGAAACACGAGAAGGAATCAATTAGGAGCGTCGGTCGTAATTATATTAGCAGAGTGAAGGGATCCAGGGGGGAGGGGGGGGGTGAAGGACGTGGGAGGATGTTGGATGTTCAAGGACCTGCGGATCAGGATCGGGATTGTCCGTGTGTGATTATACTAATACTGGGTCAATAGTGTATGTAGGGCGGGAAAGGTACACCACAAGGTGGTGTGGTAGAGCCGATATTATTTCTCGTTGTAAGTGTATAAAAAACGATGATAATAATACTGGGTCAATACGATATGTAGGGTGGGAAAGTTACACCACAAGGGGGTATGATCGAGCCTATATTATTTCTCATTGTCAAACAGTATATATTCAAAATAATTTCTAAAACATCTAATTTCTTTATTTTTAGCTGTATTAAAATGGAAAACTTTTACACAAGACTGTGCTCTAGAACACATTTTTCTTATGGGCTTCATCTTAATGGTGAAATGGGTAAATAAAAACATGATAAAGGGAACATACAGGGTGTCACAAAAAAGTGTGATGGGCTATACAGGACCTAATTCTACATGCAAAAATAAGTCAAAAATGAAGTATAAATTTTTTTGGATTTCGGCTTAGTTTAGCCGTAATCCGCCATTTTGTTTTTTGGGGAAATATTTATTATTTCAAAATCCCTTTGAGATGTTTTTACGAAACTTGGCAAAATTGTTTACACTATAGTAAGTAACATTTATAAAAAAAAATATTATTTTAACTTTCCAAATTTAAAAATGGCGGCCGTTTGAATTTTTTAATGCCAAATTTCATGAAAACCGGTACCTAAATCAAAATTTTGTAAGACACAAAAGTTTTGGTATTTATTGTGACAAATCCAACAAAATAAAAATGAATAAAATCGGTTCATAAATAAAGAAGCTGTGTTTATTTTAGTAATTTAGACTGAAATTATTAATATTAAAATGTATTAAATGTAATGTATTAATTTATGTAACGTATTAAGTAATTTCAGTCTAAATTACTAAAATAAACACAGCTTCTTTATTTATGAACCGATTTTATTTATTTTTGAGTTGTTGGATTTGTCATAATAAATACTAAAACTTTTGTGTCTTACATAATTTTGATTTAGGTACCGGTTTTCATTAAATTTGGCATTAAAAAATTCAAACGGCCGCCATTTTTAAATTTGGAAAGTTAAAATAGGTAATAATTTTTTTTATAAATGTTACTTACTATAGTATAAACAATTTTGCCAAGTTTCGTAAAAATATCTCAAAGGGATTTTGAAATAATAAATATTTTCCCCAAAAAACAAAATGGCGGATTACGGCTAAACTAAGCCGAAATCCAAAAAATGTTATTCTTCATTTTTGACTTATTTTTGCATGTAGAATTAGGTCCTGTATAGCCCATCACACTTTTTTGTGACACCCTGTATACTGCAAGGTACATTGGAGCTAATTATGTATATGGTTTTAGTCTAAAGTGATATTACAAACCGTTTCCCGATGGCGTTGGCCATGAAAAAATTCTCCAGGTTCGTAAAAATGTTTTTCAACTGCGTCCATTAGGCTCCTGATTACAAATTTCATATTTATACGTTTGTTTACGTTAAGCATTTATTTTTTAGAGCCAACAGTTTTGCTGTGATATAAAAGATGAAGATGATTATTCATTTCAAGTTTTTCTATGTCGCTGAAATGTCTCCAACAATATTCTCCATTTCTTACTTTCGTCAAATAAATAACAGTTTACAAAATAATACATAATTTCATTTATGAGAAAAGTATTTTTACTTTTATGTTTGTTTCAGGAATAAGACATGGGGTTACAAACAACGATATGCGTGTTAGGTAAGTTGTTTAGTTATTTACATTTGTAAAACTACTTAACTAGTTAGTTATGATTTACATAAATACATTACTTGAACGCCATGTAATAATCAGTGCATTGAGTGAAAAATGCAGATTATTTTGTTTAAGCTATACATTCCACAAACTTGAAGTTATCATTTGTTTTATAAGCTTAAAGTGATTTTTAAATTTAAGTATCAATCAAGGAAATAAAGAAAAACCCATTAGCCGATTTCTAACAGTTCTTAATTTATTGTCTAGACAAACAGTTATATACCATGTTGGAATTTTGGTATCAATTCAAGTGATTCTCAAATAACTTTTATGGATTTAAAATGCATTTTTGAATGAAACATAAGTTGATTTTCTGTGCTCGTGATAATTAAATGCTATAGTTCATCTTTCTACTGTAGTTTTTATTGTATCACAATTTTTATAGCTCCGATTCAGTATATTGAATATGAGCTGTTCGTGTTCATAATAATTTGCTTTTGTAGGGATAAATTTTTCATGTCGTGGTTATGCTTTCACCGATATCTGTCTACTGTCAATGTGTGCGTGTGTGTGTCTGTGTTATCACAATGTAGATCCCGAAACAACAGGTTGTACATTTTAGGGTGAAGATTAGTGTAAAATTAATGAAATGATAGCTTTGTTAATGATTAAAATATACTGGTTCTTTCGATAAGACTATTTAAACGTCCAATTATCTGAGCCATCTGGATCTAATTTCGTTTTTATCGCCATTATCATTAAAATTTGAGATACGGACGCCACCTATATGTGTATTTTAACCCAAATACAACTGAAAGGGGTGTAGAATGGAGTGTGATGCAATGTGTAGCATACTGACTAAGATCAGCTGTTTCATTAGTCAGTTTAAAACAAAATGATCAGGAACAGCTGGGCCCAGTTTCGAACCATCAAAAAGCTTCACACTTCGATGTCCGTGTGTTTCTGTGTCGTGTCACCAATGCGCGTGTGCCTGTGTACTATTGTCAATGTGTGTGTGCGTGTTGTATAATGCTTTGACCTCGGTGAAAGTAGGATTCAGTAAAGTTCACAACACATTCCACGGCTCATCCTTGTGCTTTGCGTCATCGGCGTGGCGCATTGTTTGCTGATACATGTTATTGTTTCCATTAATTACACTGAATTTTGAATGCAAACAATTCTCGTGAGTTTTGACGGTGTGTTGAAAAAAAACTTAAAAGAAGCAGTAATAAAACCTGTGAAGGCCTACGAATATAGAACTCCTAGTCATGCAGCTTAAACAAACGAAATCCTCACAAGCTATATTTAGAACAAGAGACAATCACGAAATTACCTTAATAGGTTATTTTGATAGCTAACAGTTTAATTTAATCTCATAAATTTTTAAATTATTTCTAAAGTAGTGGCATTAATTTGATTATTTAAAATGATTTTTACGTTTATAATTCGGCCCAGAAGCAATATCTTGTAACCTTGTGAACTATGTTTTATCCTAAGATGCTAGGAGCGAGCCTGGGATTGTTTTTCACATTATTTCAGGCTAGTTGCGGCCTTATCACTTAGATAAAATCCATTGGTGGTTTGGCAGGATTTGAGCCCGGGGCCTCGGGAACTGAAGTCACACACTATAACGACTATAATAACCAACATGCTCCTCTAGAACTTTCTGAACACATACAACTAAAACCAATAGGCCTATATTTGTCTCGAACATTATATATGCTATAAAATCGTATGTGGCAAGGGCTACCGAAGTTGAAGCGACCTCTCTCCCCACTCATTTCTGAGAAAGCAGTGGTAGGTGTCAAAATTTCTGGGGCCAGTTCTTTCCATCACTGCTGAGTAGTAATGCTGCTTGCCTTCAAATCTGAATTCTCCTCATTAGATTCCAAGTGGAGTGAATTTTGAGCCCAGCTGCTATTTTGTAATTTATAAATATATCGATTTGGCTATCAAAGTAAAGGTCAACATTGGGGTAGTGAAACAGACCGAGGTTTGAACATGCAAATAGTGTAAAATTCCACAAACTTATATACAGTGACCAAACACAATATGAAGGGTGTGTCCGTTGCAATATTAAGTCATACACCTAGATTAGATTTTAAGATTTTTTAGGTTTAGATGCAGACACGCCAAAGTTCGTATTAGGTAAAGTTGAGCAAATGGAGTTTTGAATAAATGGGATGGCAGTTTTGTAACTCACTAAGACCAACTTTTCCTCTACCCAGGACCATTTATTGAAAGCCCAATGATCAATGACAGCTGAATCAACGTTTGAACCATCAAGATTCTAACTTAAGGGAACTGACGACTTTCCGCTTTCTCTAGCTCTGCTAACAATATTCCCTGTGTTCCAACAGCTTTGGTGGTGGGGGTAGCTCTAGCCCAGAGAAGACCTCCCAACTATTCCCTAGATGAGATGCCAGACATCCAGACTTCCTTTTCCTGCTACGACAAGATCGTCGGAGGATACTACTCAGACCCGGAGACAGACTGTCAGATGTTCCACGTTTGTGTGCGTGTTGCTGGTGTGGGGGTGAGTGTCATTGGTTTATGAGTACAAGTATGTTAAGTTGTGGTTGAGCTGGGTTGTTTACTTGGGTGGGGTAGGTAGAAGTTATCAGAAATCAAGTGTAGGAGACGAGAGCGATTCATACCAACACAGATAAGTAAGGTGCAGAGGAAACTTGCTTATGGGACGACCATGTGCTTTCAGCTCTGGTATGTTGTGCCGGAAATATACTTGTGACAAACAAGGAGGGGCCTGAAAAGCGGGCACTATGCGGAAATTCCTATCTTACAGAGAACAACCCCTTCCTCTACCGTGAGCATTGTAGGATAGGATGGCGAGGGGAGGTGTTGGATTTTTGGTTTGAGAGGAAGAGATTCCAGCCCCTCCACCTAACGCTAGCTTATAACAGAAACAACAGCCAACATCTGGTCAGCTGATATACAGATTAATCCAAAAAAAGTGGTGGGGGAACCTCCCCCTTAAACCGCCTAAATTTTGTGAACCGACTATAATTAACAGCTCAATAGCTGGCTAGTAAGCTAAATAGTTATCGGTTTTAATAGTCAGAGTCAGACTAAGTTACATTCCTTTATTTTATATTGATACATGTAAAAGACATTACTACCATGAATAGCTGAGTTACTCTAACAGGTAAGGGGAGGAAATAAACTATTAAGATCACTAGAACATACTTTGTCATCTTCTAGAATTCATTTGTGTTTGATAGCATATTTCAAATAAAATGTTAAAAATTATAAAGTAACAAAGCTCCTCATACACTTCTTCCAGATTGTGACTTTTTTAGCTGCACACCATTCTTAGATAAAAAATTGATAAAAACCTGTTTATCGGTTTAGATACCACACAGATTAATGACAAATTTTCTTATGTATTTCAGGTACAAGACTTCAGGTTCCTGTGTCCCAATGACACAGCCTTTGACCAAGAGAACCAGATCTGTGATGACTGGTACAACATTGATTGTGAGGCATCCACTCTGTTCTACAGCGACAACTTTGACCTCTTCCGTCTGAGTTAGTAATCAGCTGTTAAACTGACACTGTATACTTTTAGGTTTTGCTATAAAAAGATATCATGGAAGTTAAAAATTCATTGGATAAATTTCTCAACTGATCAGTTTTCATTGGTGTAACTGATAATTTGTTATATGTTAAGCTGGGTTTTCCTAGGCGCAGATGCGGGGAACAGAATGTAGAAAGCGGAGTTGGGGGAAATAGTTATTTGTGCAACTAGTGAGAAAAGTGAGCAATTGACTCACTCGAGAGAAATCCTTACTCACGAGCCGTAGGCGAGTGAGGAATGGTTTCTCGAGTGAGGCAATTGTACTTTGAACTCGAGTTGCACATTATACTTTTCCTACAGTTACCATAAAACAAATAAATTGGTGAAGAAACATAACCTATTTTTACACAGAAGTGAACTTTTAATATATCATTTAATGTGAAGTGACAAATACAACAGTACAACAGCTGACCAGCTGATTTACAGCCAGTGCTGCCAACGTATTTCGCGCGCATACGACGTTGCCTGCATGTTACGCGCTCACTATTTCGTGCCTTCACGTTGCAAATCTGGAGTGAGACAAAGTAATTAGAGTGAGACAATGTTAACATTGTCTCACTGATGAGCAAATTGGCCACTTTGCTTTCTCAAATCAGTGAGAGAACATGTACATTGTTAGGTAACTGTAGGAAAAGCAATTTTTTTGGTGTCCAGTAGTGATCCGCTTTGCTTCTAAGAAACGGTATCATTAAGTTACCTAAACGAAGAGGAGAGTGGACTCTGCTTTCTGCTTTTGAGTTCTGCCTCTGCGCTTAGGAAAACCAACTTAAAGTATCTTTGAATACCTAGTAAGAAGGAAAGAAACCTAGTAAGAATAAAATACATAATACCAAACATTGTAAACAATAATACAAACGAAATTGTGACTGATGATTTCTTGCTGCTGCAGGTCAGGACAACAACTTCAACCCAGTGAAGGCCACACCCATCCCTCTGGGTCCTAGCAGTGCCCCACGTATTGCCCCGCATCCTCCCAAGCCCCACCGCCCTCATGCCCCCATCAACAATGCCGTCGGGGAGTCTGATGACGATCTGTACTTGCAGCGAGCTGATGCTGGTGACAAACGAGTCTCTCAGGATCTTCTCAGGTTAATATAATCATTTATTGTCTAGCTGAAATATTTGTTATTAAAACGTTCATTGGTGAATTTAAATTAATCCTGACACAAGTCGCATATATAAACTAGACTAGCTGAGTACCCGTCCTTCGTACAGGGTTGGTAGGTATATATTGCTTATTGTAGTTGTAGTTAAATACTCGTGCTTTGCATTTGCAATGAGAGAGGACACGTTTTGAGAAAATTTGGTTTACTATAATCTACGGTATACTATAGTATATAGAATATTTACCATAGCCATAATGTTCTACCACTTCACCTAAATAATAGAAAGAAGTAAAGTTCTCACACTCAGGTTTTTGTTGCTGCTTGGTTCAAATTAGCTGTTGTCATAAATGTATAAAGAACTAATGGTGCTGCTCCCTGTTGGTAAACCGTATAATCTTTTAATGCTATTGAATATCATAGAAACAAACTGTGTAGTTGAAACAGCTGGCAAAATTATTTAATTCCTTTTAAACATGAATACTCATAAGGTTAACATGGGAAACTCTAGAGCCACTGGGGCGGAGCCCGAAAGGATTTTTGAGGTAAGAATGTGTCTATATGTTAATCGGGAATGTGAATGTGAGCTATCATCATACCAAATTTCAACACAATCCGACCAGTAGTTAATGCGTGATTGAACTTCAAACAAACAAACAAGCAAACAAATAAACAAACAAACACACAAACTTTCACATTTATAATATTAGTATGATGTACGCTCATTCTTCCCGTATAGGGACGAAACGAGGATAGTGAAAAAGGCGAGCAGATTACAAAATATGTATTCTAGTTGTTGGCACACAAAGGAAGTCATGGATATACTCAAACAGTATATTGTAGAGTGGAGATCATTTTGAGCATCCGAAGCTTTGCCGCAGATGTGGTGAATGTGAGACCCAAACTTAAAAGACAAGTTTATAAGAACACCAAGGACCTATTTTTGGTTACACCTTTTTTTAACCGGAACATTCTATATTCTTGTGCAGTCCCAAAGTCCATTTTTAAGCTGTAATTGGTCTGGTGGACTGATGTTAGGGTTATTATCTTACATGAGCTTCTTAAATGAGCAAAATAGATTTTCAACAGGTTAGAGTTGGCTTATAGAGATACATTACTAATATTTACAATTTGTATTGCAGGGGAAGCAGCTCAAGCAACTTCTTCAGCAATAGAAACAAGGGCAAGGAAGATCCTGACGATGACTATGTTGCTCCATCAGTCAAAGAACAAGAGCTGATCAAGAACAAGAAGAAGAACAAAAACCAAGTGAGAAAGTTACTGACAGGAAAGAGGCCGGTGACCCAAGCCCCAACTGAAGCTCCTACCACAACCACAACAGTTTTCTACAACCGTTACAACACTGTACAGAGAAACCGACCAACCACCACCACAGAGAACTACCCCACCACTGCCCCACCCAATAACAACAACTACAACAACCAGAGATTCAACAACAATAACCAGCAACAGCCAACTCCTCAGGACTTCCAGAGATTCAGAGGAAACCAGAACTTTGCCTTCAACAAGAAACCGGTTGTCTCCACAAACGCTGCACCGGAGGTAACAACAACAGCTGCCCCTGCGTTTAACAACTACAACCAAAACAACAACTTCAGAGGAACCAACTACTACCAGCAATCAACAGCAGCACCAGCTTACAACCAAAACTTCTACTCAACCAAAACTCAATCCTCTACTGCTGCTCCTACAAACTACAAAACCAACTACAACTACCAGACATCAACAACTGCTGCTCCTACAAACTACAAGACAAACTACTACCAGACACCGACGACTGTCGCTCCCCAGTTCAACTACAACCAACAGACTTCGACTCCTGCCTCAACTGTCTATAACGCTTACCAGAATAGAGCAAGCCAACAACCCTCAACAGGCTTCAACAACTATCAGAACAACAACTACCAACCCCAAAACACAAACAACTTCCAAGCAGCATACAACTCTCCTAGTACTGTTAATGCTAACTCTAACTACGACGCTACCACGCTGAAACAGAACTACTACCAGAAGCAGACCACAGCCAACTACGACAACTACTACAAGACTTCAACCAACACTCCGGTTGTGGCTTACTCCACTACATTTGCCCCTGACACACAGAAATACTACGACAGCTCTGCAAACGTCTACCAGCAAACTAAGAACCAGTTCAACTACAACGTGAATGCCGCTGGACCTTCCACTGCAAACTACAACCCTTACAACTCCTACAAGGGTAACGACAACTACGACGAGCCTAGCCAAGGAGAATCTCTGAAGACTGCTCCCAGCTCCAACATCAGACCCAGCGACCTCAACGCCATCGCCAAGAGCTACCAGAAGCCTGCCGGAGGCTTCAACGCAACACTCTCGGCCGGATACAACTTTGCCAACCCTCAAACCACACAGAAACCAACATCCAAGTTTTACAGCTCTCCCAAACAGTTCCAAACGACAAAATCGCAGACGACAGTCAAACCTTTCCAACAGAATCCAACCACGTACCAACCTGCTAGCCGAGGCAACGCTTACTACGCCCAGTCTACCACTGCTGCTTCTCCTCAACCCAGGCCGTTCAGCAAGGCTCCGGAAGGCACTGTCGCTCCCAAACCTACAGTGACCAAAGAGAAGGACGCCTCTTACGACTACGCTTACTACGACGAAGGCACGGGATCTGAGTACGATGGAATCGACACTATTGGAGAAGAATTTAGCAGGACAACTTCACATAAAGGCAGCAGAACTACCCCTCAGTAAATTATAGAATTGCAGCATCTGCCTCTTGATTATGCTCTTGCAAGCAAAGGATTAAAAGTGAATCCTAATCTACCAAATGTATAGTGCCTATATTTATTGTAAATTCTATGTATATATACAATAAATCAAAACTAAATCAAATATGGTACTATAAAAGGTGGTTATCTAGGCTCAATACATTTTAACCTATCTCAGTAGTTAAACTACTACAATCAAAAAATTTCAATTCTGTCTCATATCTTAGTAATGTTTAACTGGTTACTTTGAAATTGGTACAGAATTGACACAATTGTAGTATTTGTATATAATTGAAATGTATTTTTATTTTAATGCATTAACATAGTCTATCACTCATCGAAATCATAGAATCATTTTAAAATCTACAAATACTAACAACCGTTATGGTGTATTAGCTACAAGCTACACATACTTTAAAACGCATTTCATTCTCATTAAACATTGATATGAATATTTCATTCAAAATATTTTGTGGACAAGGCCAGTTACAGTTACTAAAGCATAACTTAAGTTATTTGATAAGAAAAATGCCAAAATATTCTATTGGAAATTGTAAAATCCACTTGCATTAAGTACTGAATTTATTAATCGTGTAATTTGGAAATGATGAGCGCTCAGTTTATTGTGATCTATGTGTTTTGAAATGGGGAAAGTATTACCATTATATAGTGTGAGTAATTTTACAACAAATTTAGCTTATCGAATTATATTCAGTGTTGTCAAATAAACTGCTCTACTTACTTGGCACCCGCCATGACACTGTGGACTCCTATGTAATCTATCGATATGTATATAAATTATGTGCAATAAGCAATGACATAGTGATAAGAATCTAGTTTTGTAATTTTGTACTGATTAAAGGTACATTTTGTTAAACCTGTCTGTTTATAAACCCTATTTCTTACTTTTAAGGCCTTCCTGACAAACAACAACATTTTATGAATGAGCTACTTTGTTGAATAATTTTGTGGAACCTGAAGAAGAAGAAAATGACATGGCTAGAATAGTGGTTGGTGCACGGAGCTTCTATTCTAGAACCCCACAGTCAAATCCTGGAGTCCTGGAGACCATAAGCAGTATTTAGACTATATTCCGTTCACAAAATTTAGGAGATTTAAGTTGAAGTTACCCCATTACTTTTTTGCTAATGGACATTTTACAGCTGAATGCTGACGTTTCGGCAGTACAATGGCCTATTGTTTTAAAGGTAAGTGTTTTAATGTGAAGTGTGTTTTAAAGGATCAAGTGGAGAGGATAGATTTCTTCAAACCCATACAACCACCTAAATTTTGTGAACATATTATAGCTATACGATAAGATAAGATAAGATCTTTATTTCCGTTAGATATTCTTTTGAATACATTGGATATGTCAGGTTACAATATATAATCTATACAATAATGAATTGAACAAAGGGCTCGCCCATCTTACACAAAATCATTGCAAGTCAATTTTTTTGTCAAATATTAATCAATTGAATAGAATGCATTTGCAAGTAAGAACCTAATTACAACAGTTTTAAATTAAATAATGTTCATGTCCCTAATAGCAAGGGGTAGCTTATTAAATAACCTTATGGCTAGTACAGATGGCTTTTTCATTGATTTACTTAATCTAACATAAGGCAATTGTAAGTCATGTCTTATTCTGGTGTTGTAAGAGTGCACGTCATTATTATGCACCAAATCTGGTTGATCTTTGATGAATAGCAAGTTTTGCAGAATAAAGGCAGAATAAAGAGTTAAAATTTTTAAATGAACAAACCATGGTTTACAGTGAGTTTTATAATGAACTCCAGCAATGATTCGAACGGCACGTTTTTGTAGGATGAAAACATCTTTTGATGCTGAGGCACTGCCCCAGACAATCAAACCATAAGTAATCTTAGCATGAAATAAACCAAAGTAAGCTGTTCTAACTACATTTTGCGAGACGACGCCACAGAGTCTTCTTAGAGCAAAAATGTCACAAGCCAATCTCATGCACAATTCCGATGAGTGATCCAACCAAGAAAGAATAGGATCCAGCCGGACACCAAGGAATTTGGCCGAAATGCCCCCCTCCTCCTTAGTAAGATCCCTCAGGCCAAAAAAAATATACGATTTCCATCAACCAATAGGATACAAAGTAACAGTAACTGTAACAGTAACAGTAGCAGTAAAAGTAACAAAAAAAGGCTCCTCAAAAATCCTGGCTTTTAGACATCCAACAATAATTTTTTTCAAAGGTGAAAAATCAATTACGTTTTAGAGGAGGGCATTTTCCCCTGATCACTTGATCAAGAGTATGGTTTAATCCAAGAAAACTCCTGCGGGCAAAAACGAAAGAATTTACAGTCATATTGTTCACCTTACCTACTAGCTGGTATAGATTCCTTTTGCCGTAAATGTTCAGTGTATTTAATGAGCCGGCATTAGCGAAAGGTGGCGTCGAACAGGACCCCGCACCTCGGGGAGACCGTTCTTGGAATAAAATAGAACCAATTTTTAAAAGAAATTTTTTTCAATTATGAAAATAGGAAAAAGGCGGGAGTATAAATATTAATATTATTGAGGTGTTTGTTAGTTATCATTGTTGGAATACAATTTTTTTGGTAGTAAGGGGCCCCGCTCTGAATCCGCACCACTCATCAAGGTGACGTCGAACAGAACCCCGCACCTCGGGGAGACCGTTCTTGGAATAAAATAGAACCAATTTTTAAAAGAAATTTTTTTCAATTATGAAAATAGGAAAAAGGCGGGAGTATAAATATTAATATTATTGAGGTGTTTGTTAGTTATCATTGTTGGAATACAATTTTTTTGGTAGTAAGGGGCCCCGCTCTGAATCCGCACCACTCATCAAGGCCAGCTCAAATCAACAAAATTCAGTGGATTTTGATGTAGTAAAATCATTGTATTATGTTTGTGGCTTTCGGGTGATTGGAGCTAAGGGAATACTTAGTGTAGGTCTTAGGGGAGTCGCAAGATGAATTTAGGGGGTTTGACGTAATCACCCATTAGGGTGGAGTCACTTGTTATGTAAATAAATAAATAGCTCTGATTTAAGTTAATTTGATTATAAATGAACATATATGGGAACTTAATGATGGACAAGAGAAAAACTACTCCCTTGAAACAAATCTGTTAAAGAAAATTATGCTTCCTAACTCCAATAATAGTCCTGTATATATTGTAAAGCGCTAAATTTGTAAAACAAAATGGAAGTCAGAACGATAAGTTTTTACTATCGCTGTGTTAAGGTCATGAAGAGAATCAGGTAAAAGCAGTCAAACTCATGGTAACAGCAAACAGCACCACAAACACAACATTTATGAAAGGTGCATGCAAGAAGTTTTTATATTTCTTCAAGGGTTTTCTCACCAATAGTTAATATTTTCCAGTAAAACTGGGATTGCTCAACACGGATATCAGATACTATCCTAGGTTGTAAAACTGTAGACATGACAGTGATTTGCTCTTTAATCACCCGACTACACTACACAATCAATCAATATTGTACAGGCTGTTCCCAAACTGCCTTGGTAAGTATAAATAACTGACTATTTGAACTTTGTACTGTGTGTGAACTTGGGAATGAATAGACTCAAAATTATGGTATTTGACATGTGAAACATTGCTAACTTTAGGTTCTTACAATTTGTTTAGGACAAAAATGTACTACCGGTAGTTGATTCACTTACTGATTGTAGTTGAGTTTATTTCAGCAAAAATTAACTTTTTATGCATTATGCAATCTTATGTGATTAACATTCAAAAGATATTAGTGTTTACAAAGAAGAATTTACTACCTACCACAGTAAAATACACAACTACAAAACAAAAGGGAAGATGAAACTTGATGAAGGCAGACTATCAAAAACTGAAATATAATAAAAAATGACTCTTACATTTATCAATAAACTTCCTCTACCAGTCAGAACTGAATCTTTTGTTGAATATTTTAGGAAAAAATCACCATTGGTTGGTCAAAAATTTGTTTGATCGAATAAAATAGTTTTACTTATTTCAAATTGTCTGGTGATAAAACATTTCCAGATTTTGTAAGACCAGTGTTCTTACTAAAATTATAATTCCTGCCCTGGAAAATTTATGACTACACACTCACTGTGTAAGACCTACTGTTGTTGTTATGAATGTTTGATTTTTCTCTAAAATATATTTTTACTAGGTAATAAAGAATACAGTAACAAGAAAGACTATTTCATTGTACAGTTAGCAATTTTTCAATAAATATTAAACATTTCAGATCCTTTGTAAATATTTACAAAATTGCAGATTTAGAGAGTTTCGGTTTGAACACATTACGTTATTGCAAAGGGGCGCATCACAAATTGCAAAATAAATCTAGCACACATTAGCAGATAACGGACTTCATTAGTTAACGTCAAAGATATGTAAACTGAGAAGTCATTTACACACACAAGAAGTTCTTTCAGAGGTTGGTTTTACAATGAGCTCATTACCAAACCAAAGATCGCAGTGGACTTGATGTTTGTGGCTTTCTGGTGATTGGAGCTAAGGGAATACTTAGTGTAGGTCTTAGGGGAGTCGCAAGATGAATTTAGGGGGTTTGACGTAATCACCCATTAGGGTGGAGTCAGGTAAAATATTTACACTACACTCACTTAATTTAACTTAAATAATATTTGTATTTCCATGTTAAAATTTTATACTCTAAGTCATAATGAAAGTATGTGTTTAACTATGGAGTTTTAAGGTTTCTTTGTTTTGTGTTTAAAAAAGATCAAACACATAGGTTTTGTAGCCCAAATATTGTTGACAATAGTTTTTTTTTTAAATTATAACTATTACTAACCTTGTGTCATCAATCCGGACTTCAGCTTCAATTGCACGAATAAAATCATAGTAAAATTTGAAAGAGAAATTTTAATTTGAACTAAATCTAATTAATTATTGTAACAATGTTGTTAACTTAAGTTGAGTTGAAAGAGTCAATGGTAAAATTATGAAAATGTTATATACAGGACTAAAGTGAAAATTGAAAGTATTTTTACTGATTTTGTTATTATTTTTTGCAAGGAGCTTACAAACAGCTGGGCTACTAGGAAGTCTCACAATGCAAGTCATCCAGTGAATAATATCAAGAGCATTGGAACAAGGAACTCCTCCATCATTAAGTATGAAGTCTTGTGATATAAGTACTTATCTGTAGTTTTCAAATATATTTAAGATAACAAATTTATGTAAGAATTTAAAATTGGTTACAAAACTGATCAATTAAAATAAATTATGTTATCAAAAGTTCAACTTTGAGGAAGATTTTAGTGACATTCTTTTATATCTCTGCTACAATTCAATCTGTCACTGAATATTTTTTTTATAAATTATACTTTTTCTGAAGAAAAGTGAGTTGAAAATAAATAAAAGTTATGCTATCCCCATAAATATATAGTTTGTTATCAAGTTCTTGTCTAGTTTTGGACTATCCAGTTTCTCTGCTTCCGCTTCATTTAAAGTTATACTTTAATATTCTATCAATATCTTTCTTGATGTCCAAGCTATACAATTCTTTAAATTGTACATTTTATTTCAGAGACATCTGAACACTGAAAATATGATCACTTTACCTTCTCTGGTTCTTTTACTAGCCGGTAAGTTAATTTATCACTATCAATGCTCAATAATGTCCTAAAACCTAAAGCCAAAAGTCTGTCTTTTGTTTAAATGTATAAAATAAGCATTAAGAACAGAGGAAGATATAGGCTAATATTGAGGATCATAATAATCGTTATAATATTGGGATGAATTTGCAGCCGAATAGATAGAGATGATAAATATTAGGAGATTGAAATTTTCGAGCAGTAGAATCTATTTGTATTGTAAAAACACAAACGATTGATTTAATATTATTTTATTAGTTGAATCAATGATTATGGATGTTTGAAAATTTAATTCACTGTACCTATATAAAAACCACATTATCCCTTACTGCTGTGAAGAGGCTAATAAGTTAATACATAAATATAAATCTTAACTCATCAAACAGTCTCTCTTTTAAAACCAGCTGGAATACCACTAAATATCAGTACTACTGATAACTGGTTTTTTAAAAACGTTACTCATTGACCGATCAAACTAATCATCTGGTATATTTTATGAAGGGTTATAATTGAGAGATTTTTATTTTCAGGATTATGTCAAGCACAGGCCAAACTTGAAGCTTCAACCGATGAGGTTTTTTTACAACCAGGGGAATCAAAAACTGTCACTCTGATGTAAGTAAAACCAAATTTTCGGTCATTAGACGTAGTAATTTACTGTAAAATAGACAATCCATTGCCATATGATACATTTTTATAAGTTTTAGAATTAAAATTATCGGTTCTATTAAGCAACTAACAGAGGCCCAGCTTTTACAGGAAAATATAAAATTCTAGCATCAGAATACAATCCTTGACAAGTGCAGTTATACTGTCTAGGAGAATGAACAGCACCTGCTAAAGTAGTGGGTATTTTTATATCAGTCCCTATTAAAAAATAATAAAAGACTCAACACTATCTTAAAGATTTTTTTTAAGAATTAGGATCCAGCAGCTTGTCATCCAGAGAAAATTAGAACCCATGTGCTTCTCTTATAAATCAGTCAAAGGTCTCATATCATCACATATTTGTCCTATTTCAAGAGTATAGATACTCTATATTTAAAAATCAAATCACTAAAGAAATCCTAAAAACAAAATACAGTATATGTTTTATGTGATTTGACCTTTTACGGTGTATCTATCTTTCCTGGAATCTTCAATTTTTAGCATTACGCCGGTGGTATTAGTTGTCTGTTGTCTAGATCCAACTGCAGTGGTTGGAGCAGTGTGTTCCTACGTACCAAGCTACATCACATTGCTACTGTAGCTCCAGCCAGACAAGACGTAGGACCCACACACCCCTGGTGGGAGGTGCAGATATAGCCTCTGCTGTATCCTAGTTGTCTATAGTGTAGATCCAACTGCAGTGGTTGGAGCAGTGTGTTCCTACGTACCAAGCTACATCACATCGCTACTGTAGCTCCAGCCAGACAAGACGTAGGACCCACACACCCCTGGTGGGAGGTGCAGATATAGCCTCTGCTGTATCCTAGTTGTCTATAGTGTAGATCCAACTGCAGTGGTTGGAGCAGTGTGTTCCTACGTACCAAGCTACATCACATCGCTACTGTAGCTCCAGCCAGACAAGACGTAGGACCCACACACCCCTGGTGGGAGGTGCAGATATAGCCTCTGCTGTACCCTAGTTGTCTATAGTGTAGATCCAACTGCAGTGGTTGGAGCAGTGTGTTCCTACGTACCAAGCTACATCACATCGCTACTGTAGCTCCAGCCAGACAAGACGTAGGACCCACACACCCCTGGTGGGAGGTGCAGATATAGCCTCTGCTGTATCCTAGTTGTCTATAGTGTAGATCCAACTGCAGTGGTTGGAGCAGTGTGTTCCTACGTACCAAGCTACATCACATCGCTACTGTAGCTCCAGCCAGACAAGACGTAGGACCCACACACCCCTGGTGGGAGGTGCAGATATAGCCTCTGCTGTATCCTAGTTGTCTGTCTAGATCCAACTGCAGTGGTTGGAGCAGTGTGTTCCTACGTACCAAGCTACATCATATTGCTACTGTAGCTCCAGCCAGACAAGACGTAGGACCCACACACCCCTGGTGGGAGGTGCAGATATAGCCTCTGCTGTATCCTAGTTGTCTGTCTAGATCCAACTGCAGTGGTTGGAGCAGTGTGTTCCTACGTACCAAGCTACATCATATTGCTACTGTAGCTCCAGCCAGACAAGACGTAGGACCCACACACCCCTGGTGGGAGGTGCAGATATAGCCTCTGCTGTATCCTAGTTGTCTGTCTAGATCCAACTGCAGTGGTTGGAGCAGTGTGTTCCTACGTACCAAGCTACATCATATTGCTACTGTAGCTCCAGCCAGACAAGACGTAGGACCCACACACCCCTGGTGGGAGGTGCAGATATAGCCTCTGCTGTATCCTAGTTGTCTGTCTAGATCCAACTGCAGTGGTTGGAGCAGTGTGTTCCTACGTACCAAGCTACATCACATCGCTACTGTATAGCTCCAGCCAGACAAGACGTAGGACCCACACACCCCTGGTGGGAGGTGCAGATATAGCCTCTGCTGTATCCTAGTTGTCTGTCTAGATCCAACTGCAGTGGTTGGAGCAGTGTGTTCCTACGTACCAAGCTACATCATATTGCTACTGTAGCTCCAGCCAGACAAGACGTAGGACCCACACACCCCTGGTGGGAGGTGCAGATTACAGGACATGAGCTGGGCTACACACACATCATAGCTGCCATCAACCAGTCTCGCTCCTTCAGGTTTGAGAAATAGTCAAGTTTTTTTTACAGTTTCAGGTATGTAAAGAAAGAGGCAAGATATATGTAAGTAAAGTATAACCTCCAAGACTAGTAATAGTGTTATGTTTACTTGCAAGGAAAATGTGTTCGAATCAGGTAAAGAGCAGATACTTGTTATACAGGATTCTGGATTACATACCGTACCTTGTTTGTAAAAGTCAATAGGCTTTTTAAAATGTTCCTGGGCTAAGAACCAGCTTAGTAACAAAGTCGATGTCAACTCATTCATTCAGTGCCCATTATTCACTCATCTTCCCATTAACATAAGCATTCTCTATGGTGTGTTGTCATATTGTATAAATCCCTAAACTATAAACTCGCTCTGGAGAATCAAATAGCTCAAATCAAATAAAATTTTATTGATTTGATTTAATTTGATTTGAGCTTGTTTTATTTATTTAGTTAGTTTATTTTTTACCGGAATAAGATGAAAATTACAAATAAACAATTTTTCAGGTTACGTAGCTACAGACTTTGTACTTATATACAGAATTTTGTTTATATACCGTAATGGATTTGCTAACTATCACTGCTGTTGGGGAATGTTACAAACTACTGTAACAATAAATAGCTGCAGAATTCAATTTTACATAACTTTTTTTGTGATTGTTACCAGTTTTGAAGAAGGTCTGATACACATCACTGTCCTCAAGAAGTATTGGCTACAGACTCTCAGTCTAGTTTGTGGTTGGATCTATTTTTCTGCGTGGACATTCTCCTTCTATCCGCAGCTGCTTACCAATATCCGTAGAAAAAGGTAATTAATTTGATCAATTGTGTGAAAGCCATCGATTTTGCAACAAAATTCAGGAGCACCCTTGTTTGATTACACTCTCTAGCTGGTAACTACTTTAATCTGAAATGGCAACAAATCTGATCGGAATGGATATTAATCTGAATGGAGGTATTTTAAGCCAAGTATGAATAGAGATGAGTGTAGGATGAGTGGTGCGATCTTGTAGTCTTGACTAAGGCCGACATGTTCCTAGACACATAGCTGTTCATTAATAGCCCATACAGCCAGGAAACTAAGGGACATTCAGTTTATAGTGGAATCCGAACCATATTTTTGTCTTGGTATTAAATTATCGAATTGGTCTAATTATCAGGATAGTACTGTGGATAGTCGTAGTACTCACTAGTGCGGACATTAATCCACACCAGGGCGTATCGCATCCACAGTGCATGCTCAAGGCCGTGTTAAGAGTCAGTGGAGCCTTGGGCAAACCCCAAAAGCAGCGCCCCCTTTTTACCTAGTGCAGGTGGGCGGTGGTTATGGGAGGCCCCTGGCGGGCGCCCCCAAACCACCCTTGGCATATGCCCAGTCTGCCCGTTTATAAAAGCGGGCCTGTGCATGCTTTAGCTATACACAATTCTTGACTTCTAGTAGCTGGATTACAGGACGACGCCATGGTATTTTAATTTGCCCCATGTTAAAAATTGTATTTTGCAAACTAAAGCAATATCAGTCTTACAAACATAAGGTGTTACAGATGCTTTACAATCAGATTAAAACTATTAACTTTCAAATATCTTAGTTAACACACTTGTTCAGCTAAACACACAGACACACTTTTGTATCTTTAACAATTTTAATTAATATATCTGTTATCCATCATCTCTGTGTGCAGCTTGTATTTACACGATTAAACGATTAATACGATTTACACGATTAACACGTTGGGTGCTAATGACGGGAATTCCCACCATTGCTTAACATTGAAATAAATGCAACTTCATGTTCAAACATGTCGATGGCACTAATATTGTTAATAGATATTATTTTAAAGTACAACGTAATTTTAACAGTGTTGTGGGTTTGAACTTTGACTTCCTCGGACTCAACGAGCTTGGCTACGTCTGCTACTCCATCTTCAACTGCTGCCTCTACTTCGTACCATCCATCCAGGTAAGTATAACTTTTACTGGATATTATATTAAATAGCATCAAGCAATGTCGTAGAAAAATCGCCTGTGTTTTTGCGCCAGTTGTGCATTGTAGGTAAAAAACTGAGTTTGATTCGATCCCTGATACGATGTGCTACGTTAAAAAATTTTTCTTTCCATTCAAATGATTTAATGATGCCAAACTGACCAGGAACCTTATACAACGGCATCTGTTATGACTCCATATCAACTATTACAGAGCAGTAGGGAAATCTAAAAGAAGGATATATAACCCCAATAGTAGCACATTCTTTGTAAATATTCAACTAGTTCTCTCTTTGAGTAGAGAAAAAAATAAAAGAAATTAGGTTTATTAATTGTAATTTTGAGTTTCAACCTAAATGTTATAGTTATTTAGAGAGAGAGAGAGAGAGAGAGAGAGAGGGAGAGAGGGAGAGAGAGAGAGAGAGAGAACAACTTTATTACAAAATCATCAAGATTTTAAATGGTGTCAACAATTAAACAAATAGATTTCAGTACAATAACAAAGCAATTATTGTTACAGTTAAAAGACATTCAAATCAAAGTCTTTCCAATTTAAAAATTCTTCAACAGTGTAAAAAGGCCGAGAAGACAACCAAGTTTTCAAATGGGGCTTCATTTTTTCCCCTCCACCATCAAAAATGTTTTAAAAATTGTTAAACTCGGAACAGTCATTATCCCTAATTCTTTAAAAATAGGTTTACATGATGTTCTCCAAGGTGCAAATATTATTATTCTTAAAAACCTTTTCTGTATCTTAAAAATTAAATCAATGTTTGATGCAAAGCCCCAGAATTCAATTCCATACTGAAGAATTGAATAGAAGTATGCATAATAAAACATCAAACGAGTTTTTTAGTCAATTGTGTTTCTTAAACATATAATTTGATAACATGCCGAATTCAGTCTACTAATCAAATTTTCAATGCTTTTGTTCCAATTTAAGTTTGAGTCTACGTACAACCCGAGAAATTTTGCATCATCTTGAACACATAAATTTTGGTCACTAAACTCTCTTGCCTGAGCAGTACAAAACTTTACCAATTGGGTTTTATCTTGATTCATTTTTAAACCGTTAATATTGAACCACCGTTCCAATTCTGATAGGGCTTGTTTAACTTTGAGAGATAGTTCTGAATCATTCTTAGATTTGACAACTGCAATTGTATCGTCGGCATATAAAACAAGGTTGTTGGAAACATTTTTAGGCAAGTCATTTATATATAAAATAAAGAGTAAAGGTCCGAGAATTGATCCCTGAGGAACACCAACTGTAATTTTTTCCCATTCTGATATTGATTTTTCATTATTTTTAAAAATTACTGTTCTTTGAAATCGATTTGTCAAGAATGAAGTCAACCATAAAACAGATTCTTTTGAAAAGTTATAAATTTTTAGCTTTTTTAAAAGTATATCATGGTTGATATACCTTCTTCAATTCGATCCGTTAATGTTTCCACAAAATCAACTAAAGCTGTAATAGTTGACCTCCCCTTCACAAAACCATGTTGGTTCTTTGTGAGAAGCTTGTTGACTTCAAGATGTTGAAGCAGCTGTGCCAAAACCACCTTTTCAATAATCTTTGAAAAGGTGGGGAGCAATGAGATAGGTCTGTAGTTTCTCATGTCATCTTTTTTACCTCTCTTATGTAATGACATGACCTTACTTTACTATTGTGCTTTACTATTGGAGCCACCTAAAACTTTAGATTGACATACTGGTACCGGTACTTAACAAGTGTGTCAACAACCTTTCAAATGAATTAATTTGAGTACCGTATGTATGAAAAGAATATTTTTAAACAAATTCCATCAATAAATATTCTCACAAATGAGAAGAATAGCTTGTTCCCTATAGGGGAAATTTGCTAAAAAGAAACATATAATTAAGGTTTTAAAACAAACTAGTAAAAAATGCAAGTACTATTCATACAATCGTATGAATATCAGATATTGTGCTATTCATAATAATAAATGTTTAAATTTATGTTTTTGGGCACGAGAAACATTACTACATTATGCTTATGTATGTGTTTAGGACGAGTATTTCAAGAGACACCCTGGAGCAACCAACCCAGTCTTCTTCAACGATGTTTTATTTTCAGTTCATGGACTACTTGCGACCACAGTCATGATTATGCAATGCTTTGTCTACAAGGTAATATAATGTTTTATCTAATATCAAACAATCATTATTCTTTATATAAAAAAATCTACAGAGGACCAGCTTTCAAAAGTTGCAAAGAGGTCCGCAGTGTGTAATATACATACAGTGTGTTCTGATTTACACATCTATTATACATACACCACTGTTAATCTTAAGTTGAATGTTTAAAGAATGTTTAAGAATGATTAAAGTAAAGTAAAATGAACCATAAACGTACCCCACAATTGAGCAGCTGGAGACAATTTATGTTTTGATTTTTTTCTTTGTTATCATGCCAGCTTTTAACACTATTACGAGTTACGACCAAACCCTAAGTCCAGCACTGCCCCCCTTGGCCTCATGTGACAACGCTCATGGCCGTAGAGGAAAGACCTCATGGTGTGATAAGAATTTCCACACAGTGCTTGCGGCTTCGACTATTCCTTGCTTGGCACAAAGATATTTCCGGCACAACATTAACATACTAGAGCTGAAAGCACACAGTCATCCCATAAACAAGTTTTCTCTATACTTCTCTGTGGCGTAGATGAAACCATGAAACTCCCATAAAAACGCGAATCAGATTCTACAACAGATTGATAAGTACTTACTAGCAGTTTCCTAAGTTATCAATGATAAATTATTTTTATATGTCATAAAGCAGTAAAACACTTACATTGATACTTTACTCGACAAATTATTCTACAATTTGTTGAGCTTCTATTTGTATTGGTATTTATTTTGCGAGGAAACAGTACAAAACTGTGGTTTTATCTCTGTTTGTTTCAATTAACAGAGAGGAGGACAGACAGTGTCACAAACAGCTGTTGCACTGTTGTCTGTTGGTATCTGTGCGTTGGGTGGACTGCTACTGCTCGCCTCGCAACACTGCATCTCATGGCTCGATGCTGTCGTTTGGATATCCTTCATCAAGCTCATGGTTACCATGACCAAGTACATACCACAGGTATGAATATTGCTTACAAAACCTAAGGCAGTAAAATAATAATCAATGATGGGGTGAAGTAGTTAGTGAAATAGTTGTATGGCCTGACAAATGGAAAATAAATTTTGTATTTTATGTGTGATATAATTAAATAATTCATTTATTGGTATAGGCTACTTCGTTCACAATGTTTAGGAGGTTTTAGGGGAAGAAATTTATCCCCTCCACTTGACCATTTCCTTCAAAATAATAGCTCAACAGCTAATTAAATTATTACTAGAGAACCTGTGCGGCATAGTATGAAACATAACGCCGAGGAAAACGTTATGCTTAATTTCGAGTAATCTAGTTACATCTTAGAGTTGTTTAAACACTTGTTTGAAAATAATTTTAAATATCTGTATTTGCGTCGTCAAGGTTCACCTACATTATTTCTATGCTCTCAGTTTTAACTGATAACTAACTTCTAATGAATGCTAAACGATCTGCTTCAATTCAAGTTAACATGATGCTACAAAGTTTTTCCAGCATTGGGAATTGAAGAAAACTGTTGCCTTACTGTTGCACCTGTGTTAAGTAATTTAAGTTGGGTCATTTTATTTCTTTGATTTGAGACAGCCCCCTAATAAAACAAATTTTCTCCGTAGAGAATCCTGTAAAGTGGGGTGATACAGTATCAACCATTTCATGTTCTCCATTTTTTACCCACAAACTCCGGGCTACCAGCTGGACAGCCATAATCTGCTTTGAATAGGCTAAGGCAGGAACACTATTGAAAGTTGGTTAACGTATTTTAACGTGTTGTCTGTCAGTCACAGTATATGCCCCGCATCAGAACGTTCTCACGTTGTTCAGTGGAGTATCTCTTAATACCTGTCCAAAAGTTTTGAAAGTATGGATTCATTTGTCTAAATAGGTTGGATATAACTCTTGTAGCTATAAGATTTGGATAGCAATTTTCATTTTCTATTTTTGAACAGCGTATATTATTTGCCTCCCCTGAATCATTAAAATATTTTATCAAGCTAAACATTTTAAAACTAGAATCATCCATTTGGAAAATAAACCAACAATAATATCAAGATCTTCTCATAAAATTACAGCGGACCTACTTTTAACCGGCCGTTTGGATTGTGGACATTTTGAACTTTTAATTCCAAATGAAAGTATAGTCAGCCAAATAAATCGAAAAGATAAAATATGTGATGAGATGATTACTAATAGTAAAATTTCTAAAAGCATTTCCAGAGAAGTGAAATTTAGGACCTCAAAAGTAAAAACTAAAGCCAAACCAACTCCAATTTCCGATAATACAAATAAAGCTGTATACAATGAATGCTATGACCACGGAAGTGTTCAATTTTTTGTAACAGCAGACGATGTCAATCAAGATGATATGATTAAAGACAATTTTATGAACAAGTTATTTACCAGAGGATTCGGAGTTCCACTTCTTAACTCTGTAAGTTCTCAAGAAAACAATGAATGGCACAAACGGTGGCTTTGTGCAATGAAATTAAAAGGAAGACAATATACAATACCACAAGGTTCAATTGGAAGGCAATTTGTAGATGTTCTAGCCAAAGAGATCCAAGCAGTCCCAAATGGTATAAATTCAACCGAAAGAATATTTTTCTTATGTGCTACCATTCTTCAAAAAGATAAAATGATAAAAAATGGGTCTGACATAAGAAGTTTGATGAAGAAAAGAATGGAAATGTGGGAAAATGATCAATTTGATGAATTAATACGTGAAGCTGAGAGATGTGATCGGCAAATGAAAACATCACAAGAACACCAAGAAGAAGACCAGAAAATAAGAATCTTCACAAGATTGGTATTACAAGGAAAATTGCGTGAAGCTACAAGATGGCTCACAGATCGCTCCGGCGATGGAGTACTCACACCTGACGATATCCTTCCTGATGGTCAAAATGTTTTTCAAGTTTTAAAAAATAAGCACCCACGTCAAATGGTTCCGAATGACAATACCTTTCTAGCTGATGAGAACTTACCATTGATGGTAGATGTAGATATATCCAGTGACCACATAGAGAAAATGGCTAGACGTTTGCATGGAAGTGCTGGCCCTAGCGGAACAAATGCTGATCAATGGAAGAATATGTTGCTACGCTATGGAGCACATAGCACTCGTTTAAGGGAAGCAGTCGCATCGTTAACTCGATGGATGGCAAACGGGATAGTAAACTGGAACTCGATCAGAGCTCTGTTAGCTAGAAGAGGATTAGCACTGAACAAATACCCTGGTATTCGCCCAATAGGAGTTGGAGAAGTTTTGCAGAGACTATGTGCAAAAACCATGGCTTTTGTAACAGGTGACGATGTTCAAGAAATATGTGGATCTGACCAACTCTGCGCCGGAACGAAAGCTGGAATAGAAGGTGCTATACATGCTATGACGGACCTATTCAATGAAAAGAACCAAAATTGTATTTTACTTGTAGATGCTTCAAATGCGTTCAACGCCTTGAGCAGGCCTTTAACTCTGTGGAATGCTAGGGTGCTTTGGCCTCGTTGCGCTCGTTTCCTATTCAATACATACCAAGGCTATGCAACCATTATGTTTAGAGGAAGCAATAAAATCATCCTTAGTCAAGAAGGAACCACTCAGGGAGACCCTTTAGGCATGCTAATGTATGCAATTGGCATATTACCTTTGGTAAAAAAACTAAAAAGCCTAAATTGGAAGCAAAACTGGTACGCTGATGATTCTGCATGTTTCGGTGAAATACTTAAAGTTAGAGAATGGTTTAACGCTTTACGTGTTGAAGGGCCAAAATGGGGGTATTACCCAGAACCCAAGAAAAGTGTATTGATAGTAAAACCTGAATATAAAGAAAAAGCAGAAGAAATTTTCAGAGACCTACAAGTGAAAATTGTAACATCGTACAGGTTTTTAGGGGGTATTATTGGTAGCTCAGAAGAAAAGAAGGAATTTGTGAAAGAAAAAGTAAAAAAATGGGTTGATTGTATAAAGAAATTTGGCATAGCTGCACATAAAAGTCCTCAAGCAGCGTATACTGCCTTTACTAAGTCATTACAAAATGAATGGGCATTTCTCCAAAGAGTAACAGAGGGATTTAGTGAAGAATACGAAGATTTAAAAACTGCCATACATCGCCATTTCACTCCCAACCTTTTCGAACAAGAGATTTCTGAACTTGAACATGACTTGTTCTCTCTCCCTACTCGTTTTGGAGGCTTAAATATTCAGGACCCGACAAAGAACGATGGTATTTCATTTGAAGCATCAAAACAATGCACAGAAAAATTAATATTAGCCATTAAAAATGGACAACCATTAAAGATTAATGATCATGTATCAACACTACAAGATGTAATAAAGAAGAGAAAACTAGAAAAAGACATGTTGGCTAAAGCAAATAATGAACGAATTATGGAATTACTTCCTGAAAGTCAAAAGAAGCCAATACTTAGAATTGTAGCAGGGAATACTGGCCAATGGTTAACTGTGACACCATGTGCATCTGATCATACGGATTTGTCCCCGGATCAATTCAGAGATGCTTTGTCAATTCGCTATGGCCGCACACTAAGAAATTTACCAGTACGATGTGATGGTTGTGATCAACCTATGAATCTAACACATGCATTAAATTGTAAAAAAGGAGGATTGATCAAACATGGGCATGATCAACATCGAGACCACTGTGCTGCGATAGCAAATATGGCCTGGAAAGGGGTTGAAGTCGAGCCTATTATGAGAGAAGCTGACCCTGCAACCAATGTGCCTGCTTTAAAAGCTGATTTTAAAGTTAATGGTATTTGGGAGGCTGAGAGAGTAGCGTTTTTTGATAATCGCATTGTTAACGCTGACGCTCCCTCTTACGCCAACCAAGAATGGGGAACAATATCTCGAAACCATGCCGTTCAGAAACACAATAAATATGACAAAGCAGCCGAAGACATCAGAGGAAGCTTCACACCATTAATATGTTCCACGGAAGGAGTCCCCCACAAAGAATATGAAGCATTTCAGAGGAGAACAAGCGAAGCCCTGGCTGTAAAATGGAGAAAACCATACTCCCAAATTATCGGATGGTTGAGGATCCAAAGCCAGCTTTCCATCATTCGAGCAGTTTCGCTAAGGCTACGGGGAACTAGACGAAAAATTCGAAGCATTCAATTTGAAGATGGTGCCGCAATTCCCCCATTGCTCTATTAAGCTTTCATTTTATTTTTTTAAACATTTATATTTGATTGAAAATCATAGTCATATGTTAAAATAAACTTGACAGTAACTACTCGATCGTTGTCTACATAAACACTAATTCCTTCACTTATGTTTGGTCTAACAATTCCAAAGTAAGTTGCATAACAGAGCTGGCAAATATTATTCATCTCACCAAGTGAATGTGTATCTGGATGGGTCTGTTAGACCAGGCCTCTCTTTTTCTACTATCCTCATACGCATAAGATATCTTATTATTATTAATTGTCTCGTTTTCAACATTTCTTCTTTGAAATTGAGGCATTTTCTGTTCTTCCAACAAAACTGATTAACTAACTTGGTCTTAACCTACTGAATATTACAAACATTAATATTTACTCCCAAAAAGCTAATGAGTTTCTTTTTATAAACAGCTGTTTTTTTGTTTTTCAATTTGTTCTATGTATTTCTTACGGGGAAAACCCGACCTTTGAGAGGGTCTCACGCCCTTAAGAGTAGGAATTTTAAAATTCTAAAACCTTATTGCAAAACTAAACATTGAGACGAACCTTTTGACACCTTAAACGTTGAAATTGGTCCACAAATAAGGGAGGAGTTGCGTTAACAAAAAACGGCTTCACGTATTATATATATAGATATTGAAGGGTCAACCTGTAAGGTTCGGAAAGGTACGATTGGCACAACCACCCGGTAAGGTAGTAGCAGCCAGAATGCAGGGAAATGGAAATTATTTTGTCTCGACAAATTCCCTGCTGTGGTGCTTATTGGAGTAAGCAAGGTTAAAGTTTGTGCGACAAATCTGCAGCTACGGTCACAGCGCTAGCTGGATCCAAATAAACCTATACACTAACCTAACTTATCCAGTGAGGTACTCAGACAGTAAAACATTTTTATTGTGATTGAGGATGTATTATAGAGCACATAAGGACCTAGCATTTTAGGATTTTTAAAAGTAGGCTACCTATCCTTTTATTGTGATTAGTTATGTAAATGCACATTTTGCAGGCCCTGATGCATTTCAGACACAAGACGACGGAAGGCTGGAGTATTGAATGTATTCTGTGTGATTTGACCGGAAGCTGCTTCAGTTTGTTCCAGATGCTAATCAACGCATACAACTGTGGTTTGTAGATTTCACATTTATTTGCAGACTGCAGAGGCGGCCCTAAATAAGGGCGAACAAGGTGGTGCCTCGGGCCATGCTTTTTTCAGGGGCCCCTCACAGCCGTATTTCAAGAATTAAGGGAGGCCCGCTATTGAACTTTGCCTTGTGCCCCCGCAACCACTAGGGCCGCCACTGGCTGACTGTTAGACACTGCTGTTCTAATAGCTTCTCTTTTGCAAATGTTTTTCAGAAACATCTGTCATAGTAGATATTTTTGTATACAACTCAAAACAATAAACTAACACAACTTTGGGGACAAAAAAAATTTATTTAAACAAAAATATGTGATAAATGACACACACTGTCTTCCAACCCTTAAGAAATAATGTGATAAAACTGTACTTAATAATTTTGTTTGTGCTTTCAGACGACTGGGTGTCAATTCTTGGGGACCCCACCAAGTTTGGACTTGGGCTATTTTCCATCGGCTTTGACATGCTTTTTATAGTACAACACTTTGTATTATACAGGTTTGTGAGTTGTAATTTTCATGAATGTGTTTGCCAATTGAGCTATTTTGATCTTTTTTACGTTGTAAAGAGGTTTTAGTCATTTATTCAGACTTAGAATAAATTGTGAGAAGAAGTTTATCAGTCTAAACATTATGGACTATTGATTGGATGGACTTTAAGTAAAGAGTGTCAAAACCAGAAAAATTATAAGTAAAATACAGAAAAATTGTGTTTACCTTTAATTAAGGTTGCATTGAACACGTCAGCTGAAGATGGAAAACTGAATCTGAATATTGTACAAATTATACAAAAGGAAATAAATTTAAATAAATTGTGGTCTTTATCTATATATATGAAATAAAATTAACATATAACATGAAAGGTTATGTACCATTATTACATCAAATATAAGACAAGACAAGTGGTGGCTTTTACAACTGATTTTCTGTTAGATCATCAAAAATTTGTAAAGGGTGCTTCGGTGCTTCGCTAATGTATGCATCCAAAGTGTGATGGCAAACCATCTTAGTTACACGAACACATTTCAAATTGGTAGGCAAATATAATACTAGAATAAAATTTTTTGCAGGATCAAGCCAGAAAAAGATGCAAAGGAAAAGGAAACACCAAAGAGCATCTTTATAATATTCAAAGAGTCGATTCTACCAAATATTTCCAAGAGAAACAAAAACTGAAATATTTTATTACATGTACACATTTGAAACAGTTAACTGTGGTGTGTATGTGTGTAGTTTTTTAGTATCATTGATTCTTAAAACCACTCTGAATCATGTTATTAGCATAACTGTACATTATTTGCAAATAAATATAAAACAAAAAGAACAAGATGAGTCTATATTAAATCACAAAAACGTTCGTAGTGGAAAAAACATATCCTTTTAAATATTTTCCTATAAATAAAAAAGTGCACTGATTAAATTTCCTATCATAAGTGATTTGATGAATCCCTCCACAGAATAATGGAGAAAGTCATAGATCATAAGTTTGTCAGTTCCTAAGTGAGTTATCCATGAATTAAGGTCTTCAACAAAGCTACTTGAGTGATAGCTAGATAGTTAGATCTAAAATTTATGTCAAAGACGTCAATATCATAATGATATCTTTCATGTAATTTTTACATAAATAAAAATCTAAATGACGTCAACCTGAAGTAAAAAATTAATTTAATTTAACGTTAATCTGACGTAAAAAGATTTACCTCATTTTGACGTAAATTTTACGTAATATTACACAGTAGGCTATATCAAATTGACATTATATTGTTGAGCAAAAAATGTAAAAGTTTTTGGGTCATCTTCTAATAGTGGGAATGAATCTACCCTTATAATGCATCCTTGAAGAATTTCAAGTCCATGCTCTCTCCAAATATTAAGCGTGGTTATTTAATTTACTATCCAATGCATCAGCTTAAAGTTCATTGTCAGATAATACATGTGAATAGAGAAAAAAGTGTTTGAATTGGACTAAGAAAACAAGAGGTGGAATGATCGAGTTCAGAGATAATTGTAATGTAAGCATTTCACATTTGCACGATGTTTATGGTGCTTTAAATGGACACTGCTATTTATCTTGGTTTTCAAGGCATAGCCATCAAGGTAAGGAAATGAATTGGCTGAATGAGAAATTGCCGAACTGAGAGGTCATCCCTAATACTCCTCTAAGAAAGATTCCATAATTTTGTAATCAATGTTTCCATGAAAATCGATAAACGGTGTGTATTCACTATTCAGTGGTGTAATAATGTGTACAACCTTAATTCTTTCTAGACTCCTCCCCTGTGCTAAACAATAAAAGCTCTACTTAACACATCAGTTTTCCCTGCACATGTCAACCAATGTCAACTACTGCCAAAGAAAGTATTTCAATGAGGGTTGCTGTGCTGATTCCATATACATCAACTGCATTCTCCATTGAATATTCTAGTTAATAAAAAGTAACCCTGTGTCTGATCAAGGACAATGTATCATTGCTCATACCCATGTAAAAAGATGGTAAGACAACTGGGTGGATTTCAGCTGAAATCAATTAATCGAATAAGATTTTATATTATTCCAACGGAAAGGAATGGAATGGACGTAGGTCGCCATTAAGTGGCCTTTTTTACTAAGAGCATCAGCTGCTTGGTCAGTTCATCATTTATGTAAATAAAATTAGAGTTTTGTTTTATTATATAAGATATATCTCCACCAAAATATCTTATGGTGGTGGGATATTTTACCAAAATATCAAGATAACCAGCTTGGTAAAAGTTTTGAACAGTCAAAAGATAAATACTTTTCTGAGGACTGACGAACTGTCTCTATCTTAGGAACACACTATAACGATTTAGATAGGCCTATAAACCGCACCCCCGCAGCTAGCTAGCTCTGCTCAGAATTTCTTCACATATATTTCTTTAGTTTGATTTTTTTAGGAACTTGACAAGGTTATAAGTTGAACATTGCAAATAGTGGTGATGGTGTTGTCACATGGTACCAGATCTGAAACCACAGAAAAAAATGCTTCTCACAGCTGGAAAAAGACATGTTTTACAACTAGGTGGCGTTCGCAGAGGCATCCACAAAATTGAGCGGAGTCATCAAGGGTTTATATTATATTGTTTTGGTTATACTGCAGTAATAACAGTCGTTTTTAATGCATGCGTTGCGGGTCTAAAGTAGAATTTTTACTCTTTAGGAAGTAAAAATAGTTTTTATCCTCTATGGAGTAAAAATCTGCTGTTGTCAACTCAGTTGTAAATTTCGATTGTAAACGATTGCATGTATCGAAAATATGTATTGATTCGTGCATCGTAATAATTTTAACCTACAGTCTACAGTATACAGTCTCTTCCCATAGCATTTTAGCATTACCAAAACATTAATCCATTCATACACTCAACACTGCTCACCTTTACTACTTCCTTCACCACTTCCTACGTCGCGGACCTGTTTCCCTCCCTTCCCATAGCATCATAGGATTGCAAATACCTTAATCTAACGGTCATAATCAGTTCCTACACTCCGGACTGCTCGCATTTACTACTTCCTTCACCACTTCCTACGTCACGGACCTGTTTACCTCCCTTCCTATAGCATTTTATGATTGCAGATACATACATTAATCTAATCGTCAAAAACAGTTCCAACACTCCGGACTGCTCACCTTTACTACTTCCATCACCACTTCCTATATGCCACGGACCTGTTTCCCTCCCTTTCCATAGCATTTTATGATTGCAGATACCTTAATCTAATCGTCAAAAACAGTTCCCACACTCCGGACAGCTCGCCTTGACTACTTACTTCATCACTTCCTACGTCGTGGACCCGTTTTCCTCCCTTCCCATAGCATTTTATGTTTGTTGATACCTTAATCTAATGGCCATGAACAGTTCCCACACTCCAGACTTCTCGCCTTTAGTACTTCCTTCACCACTTCTTACGTCACGGACCTGTTTACCTCCCTTCCCATAGCATTTAAGGATTGCAGATACCTTGATCTAATCGTCATAAACAGTTCCCACACTCCGGACAGCTTGCCTTGACTACTTCCTTCATCATTCCTACGTCGCGGACCCGTTTTCCTCCCTTTTCATAGCATTTTATGATTGCAGATACCTTAATCTAATCGTCATAAACAGTTCCCACACTCCGGACAGATCGCCTTCACTACTTCCTTCATCATTCCTACGTCGCGGACCCGTTTTCCTCCCTTCCTATACCATTTTACGTTTGTTGATACCTTAATCTAATCGTCATGAACAGTTCCCACAATCCAGACTGCTCGCCTTTACTACTTCCTTCACCACTTCTTACGTCACGGACCTGTTTCCCTCCCTTCCCATAGCATCATAGGATTGCAAATACCTTAGTCTAATGGTCATAAACAGTTCCTACACTCCGGACTGCTCGCATTTACTACTTCTTTCACCACTTCCTACGTAAAGGACCTTTTTACCACCCTTCCCATAGCATTTTATGATTACAGATACCTAAATCTTAACGTCAAAAACAGTTCCCACACTTCGGACAGCTCGCCTTGACTACTTCCATCATCACTTCCTGCGTCACGGACCCGTTTTCCCCCCTTCCTATAGCATTTTATGTTTGTTGATACCTTAATCTAATCGTCATGAACAGTTCCCGCAGTCCAGACTGGTCGCCTTTACTACTTCCATCACCACTTCTTACGCCACGGACCTGTTTCCCTCCCTTTCCATAGCATTATATGATTGCAGATACCTTAATCTTATCGTCAACAACAGTTCTCACACTCCGGACAGCTCGCCTTGACTACTTCCTTCATCACTTCCTACGTCGCGGACCCGTTTTCCTCCCTTCCCATAGCATTTTATGTTTGTTGATACCTTAATCTAATCGTCATGAACAGTTCCCACACTCCAGACTGCTCACCTTTACTACTTCCTTCACCACTTCCTACGTCGCGGACCCGTTTTCATCCCTTCCCATAGCATTTTATGATTGCAGATACCTTATTCTAATCGTCATAAACAGTTCCCACACTCCAGACTGCTCGCCTGTACTACCGGTACTTCCTTCACCACTTCCTACGTCGCGGACCTGTTTCCGTCCTTTACCATAGCATCATAGGATTGCAAATACCTTAGTCTAATGGTCATAAACAGTTCCTACACTCCGGACTGCTCGCATTTACTACTTCATTCACCACTTCCTACGTCACGGACCTGTTTACCTCCCTTCCTATAGCATTTTATGATTGCAGATACATTAATCTAATCGTCATAAACAGTTCCAACCCTCCGGACTGCTCGCCTTTACTACTTCCTTCACCATACTTTCTACGTCGCGGACCTGTTTCCCTCCTTTCCAATAGCATCATAGGATTGCAAATACCTTATTGGTCATAAGCAGATCCCACACTCCGGACAGCTCGCCTTGACTACTTCCTTCCTCACTTCCTACGTCGCAGACCCGTTTTCCTCCCTTCCCTTATAATTTTTGGAATGCAGATACCTAAATCTAATCGCCATAAACAGTTTCCACACTCCAGACTGCTCACCTTTAGTACTTCTTTTAACACTTCCTACGTCACGGGCCTCAAGGTAGTGTCGTCATTTGATTATATTTATGATTCATACCATTTCTGTTCTAATATCTGTGGAATAATACTATCAGCTATTTCTTTATCTACTGCATTCAAAAGTCAACAGCTGATCATATGTCTTTGTTTATGTGTCAAATACTGCTTCCATAAGGATTACATTGAAACTTTGAGACCCAGTGGGGCGGATTCCTGAGAGCTATTTTTAACGCCATATAGATGTTGGCACTCACCGATATGGTCTTTATCACCATCCAAAATTTGAAAACGATTGATTCAGCCGTCTAGGAGGAGTTTGCGTATTACGAAATGCATAAAAGTCGACGTATAAGAGCTTCGCTCGCTTCGCTCGCTCCGCTCAATTAAAGGAACTCGGACTGTGAAGTACACAGATCAAAGCATTGCCATTAAATACCAGCTGTAAGTAAACTTATCATTCTATTGCAAAATCTGATGAAGCATGTTTTGTAGTGTGTAGCATTATGGAACACATGATTATTGAGTGGGTGGAGTAGGCAGGGCCGCATAGAGGGTTGGGCAGGGGGCAGGGGGGGCCAGAGCCCCGGCGCTCTGAAGAGGGCCCGGCCCGATCAAATGTAAAATCTTTTCTGGGCATGTAATCTGCTAAAGTTAAACAAATTGGGTTTCAGTTCACTTAGTAATTTTTGAATTGAATAAAGTTTCAACTGTGAGCAACTATTGTCAAACTGTATTGTTATATGTGTTAAAAACTGGCACGGGAGGTGGCTGGACACTAAATCAGGAAAATAGGGGGCCCTAGACGGCCCTGGGAGTAGGTTATTTAGAGTGTACTAGTGACTTGTCTTTTGATACCCGGGCCAGATGAAATTTAGTACCCCTTTGCAGAGACTGCACTGGATGAGGATATGGACAGTATGGAACAACAACACACCACCTAGAGGAGTGTAAATTAGCTATTTTGCTTATTGCCATAGAACATGGGAGGAGTATGTTTTATCATGTTTTATCTATGGTATTGCCTACAGCTGTGGTAATGCGATCATTTCCATGCATTGGTAGGCAAATAAACATTCTGTTTCTCACCATTAATACCAAGAATCAAAAACGATTACTGTATCTGTACAAAAACTAAAAGGACCTTTTACCTTAAAATTTGTTCAAAGGCTTCATAATGATCCATCAATGATCAAGGGAATATCCGCATCACTTGGGTTTGCATTGTCAGATCCCCAACTAATTATATGTGCATATAACCAATGATACAACCATTGAATTTAAAACTGTTACTCCACAGGCTGTTTCTCCTTCCAAAACGTGTGGGTGTGCCATTCGTTAACGGATCGGATTCGCTCCCTTCAACCACGTCTGTAATGGCTGTCAAGGTGTCTGGGTGTTTTGAATTGTTTATGTTCTCTCTCGTGAGTGTCAAGTGTATGTGGCGAACGTGGCATTAAGTCCTTAGTGATTATTAGATTTTCGGTAAGTTTTAAGAACTTCAGATCTGAAGGATATAACATATGGTTTACTGTAGTAGTATGCAAGTTTCCTAATTTGCCATAAGGTGACGTAGGATGACTTTCCCGGTTGCATGACATTCCATTCCTTTCCGATAGCATGCATTCCAACATCTGCTTTCAGTAGGGAGGGGTCTTTTTATCATATTCAAAGTGAGTATGTCTTGTCACCTTTTGATTATTGGTTTTTAATTCGTTTAAATCAGCTCAGACTTAGGAAAAAAAATGTTACCAGGAAATTACTTGGCTACACGAATCCACACTTTGTATAATTGAGCTAGACCCATGATAGGTTAACATTGCAGTACACACAATACATTTTAATGAAACATTGCAGTAGGCCTAGGTACTAAATTTTTATTAGCCTAAAATAATTATTATTCTAGTTACCTATCTTAGGCCCTAGTCTATCCTTATATATAATACGTGAAGGCATTTTCTACGAAACACTACTCATTTGTTAATAATGGACGGATTTTTACTAACGATGTGTCAAAATTAAGTATTTTTTGTGTAGACACCCTCTTTCACAGATTCCTGTAATAAAAGTCCTCGGGCTTTGCCCCACAGGCCATCAAAATCCTAATGTATTTCTTATGATGAAAAGATTTTGTTTTCTTAAACATACGAATAATATTTGTATTAATTAGGTACAGCTGTTCATTAGTAAACACATTATACACACACAATAGTGTTCGTTTTCAGAGTGAGTTCGTTTGCAGTTTCGATAACTAGAGTGGAGTGATTGATTACATTATCTTTGAGTTGACTCTTTTGAGTCATAATCGGAAATTACGACTGTTATTCGTTTTGAAATAATGTCTGTAATACTTTAAAATTGCTCGAATTCGAGCAACAGTTGCTCTAGTTTAATTTAATGTTTGATAAACTTAAACGAATAACTTAAGGTACCGTAGGCTATCCTAGCCTACACCATTTTACATTTGCAAATGATCACTAATTAGTAACTTAATATGTTAGGCCAGTAAGTTAAAATTGCCAATATTTCTGTTCTTACTGTTAATAGGCCTACGGTACCTGTAACTTATATTAAAAGACATGGGTGTTTATCCATTAACCCTTTCGGCGCCACAATTTTAAAGTGGTTGCATGCCAACAATACTGCCAAGGCCATTTTTTGGTCAAGCGCAATGTTTTGATTAACAAGCTCTAGGCTATCTCTTGTCTCTTTAGACATAGAACAATAATTCTTTTTTTGTTAGATTAGTTATAAATTTGTCTTTAAATTAGGTAATATACTTAATTTATTGGGTTAGATTTGGTTTTTTATTTCTGTACATATCAAAAACATGTTTCGTAATACGAAAAAATATGTAAAAATTAAATTCATAAGCCTGCAACAACACCAGAAAAAAATATTTCTTATAAGTAGGTGTGTTCTACATATAGCCTACTTGTTAGTACTTAAACTGGCCAAATTTGAAAGTCTTAAGTAAGTTACCTTACTTTATACTTTATGTAAACTCTGATAACTTAACTTAACTTAGATCAAAAACTATTTGATTAATTAAGTTAGGTAGCCTAGGTTAATTGAAGTTTACTTGATTTTGTCAAAAAGGGCAGACTTCCGTATCTGTTGTCAAAAACAACCGAATGAAAATATTGATCGATATATCGAATGAAAAAATCGAATAGGCCTAATCGCTATTTTCATTCGGTTGTTTTTGACAACAGATATGGAAGTCTACCCGTCAAAACACTGTTTAAAGACAATGGTAACACCATATAATTTCTGATTTATACTAGCCTACTAGCCTATTTACTTAACACTAATAGGTACCAAAACCCTAGCCAGGCTGACGCTAACTGAAACCCCTGGTCTTGGAGACCCCGTTTGAAAATAATGGACCCCGCCTAGAATCTCACAAACCGAAACCCTGGGCCTTTCAGAAATCAAGCTTGGCAGGAATAAGTAATGTTCCGTTAACTTATTGCGTGTTGATGTACCGTAGGCTAACCAAGTTCGCATTAAAGACAGCCTCAAAGAGCTTCGCTTCACTCAATAAGAACCCGCCTAAGAAATTAGGAATAGCCCTACAGTGACTTAGTGCAAGCCCCTATTTATGTACGGTAGATCTAGGCTCAATCAATAGATTAGTAACCGGTACCAAGAACAATTTTATCAGAAGAATGTTACAAAGAGGGTCACTCCATTTTTGGAAATATTGGCAGTGACAAGGATACTTTTAGGGACTGAGTTTTGTACAATTTTTAATTTGATATGCTACAGTATTTAAATAGATTCTATGTGCCTCTGCCAGAGTCAGTTGTGTTGCCAACGTAAAATAATTTGTAGGATTGGCTCTACTTTATTGTTTTAGGCCAACCGTAACTTACTGTTTCTGATTGACCTTTAATGAATTTGCAGATGTCCGTGTGTTGTGAAGTGAGCGGTGCTAAAATGGCAGCACCTGCTTCACAAAGCTCCCAGGATAAAAAAGATTTGGATTATTTGGAAAAACTCATCAAATTCTTTGCGTTGAAATCGGCTCAGATCATCGTTCAGGGAAGATTGGGAGGGAAAGTCCATACGGAATGCAACCCTGACTCTACGCAGACAGACTGGGTGAGTGAGCTGTGCTTTTGATTGGTTAGGTTCTTTTTAAGTTTATTTATTTATTTACGGTACCGCTACACCATTTTTCAGAGTTGACATGCTGATATTAATACTAATAAAAATACAGTATTGAAAGATTTAAAGTTAATGAACAAAAAGTAATAATGAATGCAAGTGAAATGTTGAATAATATGAAAGGAGCATAACTACTTGCCTAATTAAATTAGCTTCCCTTCTGCCTTATCTCATGCTCTTTTACTTTTTTTTTTTGTTATTTGCAGAATTGATTGAAAGGCAGATAGTTAACATCATGTATGCTAATGGGAAAAAAAATAGTTGAATACCGGTAATGTCTGTAATAAACTGTAAAAGTTAATACACAATTTCCACCGCCGGTATTCCTTAGGTTATAAATTCATAGATCTATCTGGACCCATCTATCGCTTGATTTGAACTATCACAGACATGTAAGGTAGCCTACAGAGGAAACAAAATTATTGGAGCGTGTGCTTTCAGTCTTAAGGGCGAGCACTGTGCGGAAATTCCTGTAGCACAGGGCTCAGTGTCTTCCTCCTCTGTGAGATTTGTAGTAGGCCTACATTAGGTCGAGGGGGGGGCCTTAGACACCAGCAATAGTGCTAGACACCACTTAAGTGTACCATGGAGTGTATCCTCTGTTCCGTACTTCTTTCTGGATCTATTTAGTTTAGTTTCAGTTTATGTTTATTTATGGGTATATAGGCCTACTTTACTTTATTTGCCATTCTTGCCTAATACTGTTTAATAACTGAGCAGTATATTTATTCAAATAAAATAATTTAGTTTGTTTGGTGGACTTCTATTGTAAATATAAAGTAGGCCTAATTTAATTCAGCTGTAATCTACGGTTGGAGGGTTCCTTACTGGTTTTAAGATTTGCCAACAGACCCTTGGTGCTGAAGAATAGGGGAGATAATATTGTTGGACTAAAAGCTACTATGAGGTCACAAATTGTGGATATTTATAGGCATGCACTGAGGATTCGATGCTCCCTGGTGTGGATTAACGTCCGCACTAGTGATTACTACGACTATCCGCAGTACTATCCTGATAATTAGACCAATTCGTTAATTACAAGGAAAAATGTGGTTCGGATTCCACTATAAACTGTAGGTCCCTTCACTCATATTTGGGTTAAAATTCGCACACAGTGGCGTCACCATCTTAAATAATTAATTGATTGATTGAAATTGAAAATTGTGCACATCAGTAGCGAATTCAAGAGAAAAATAGTTCTTGTTATCAAGGTCTGGTATCAAAAGTGTTGGTTTTGGGGCTCTGAAGTAGATTGAGTTTCATAAAAAATAAATTTAAATTCTCGAATGCTATGAAGCCTATTAAAGTAGGCATAAAGCTTTTGTAAACCATAATAATTACACAACGATATTACGATGTTAAAACGTTCAGTATTGGAAGAGGTGTCTTTCAACATATAAAAATTTGAAATACATTTTCTCAAAGATTTAAAAGAAACTTACCGTTAGTTTTTTAAATGTCGAATACGGTAAAGAAGCATGATATGACCTACTAACATCAGTAGTTAAATATAATCATTAATATGATATCAAAATTATAATTAATAATTCTTAAGGTCAGCAACCAGGCAATCAGAGGTAAAATTCTCAGTAATATTACTTAATACAAATTCATATTTGAGATTGTGGCTCTGTTAGAATTACAACATAGAGTACTATTGTGATGTTATAATAGGCTACCGTGGGCTGAAATAAGTAATGAATCACGTGTTAAACACTTCCAGACAGACGGACTGAGTGGACGTTTGGCCTCAGATATATTAATTTGATAAGAGGCATGCTTGACGTTAATGTTTCTTTTATCATTTAAACTCTTATGCAAGAGAGTAGGGTCTATAGAATCAGTGCAGGTCAGTTTTTTTTTTAGCTTGATTACCAAAAATGAAAAAAGGAGTTAAGTTATTGGTTTGTTTTGAATGTTTTTAATTTAATGTAGCGGAACGTATTGAAAATCGTTAGCCATAAGACTGGATTACACACCTGGATCTACTAACTACTATAGTCTGTTCACAAAATTTAAGCGGCATGAGGGGAAGGTTTTCTGGGTTCCCCCGCCACCTATCATATACCTATCAGCTGTCAGCTGTTGTTTCGAAAGGTGAGGTAGAGGGAATGGAATCGCTTCCCAAGCCTCCTAAAATTTTGTGAACAAAGTATAAAACCTAACCTATACTTAAAACTATTAAGGTTATCCTTATTTAGTCTTTGTAAATTTATTATTTTTGTCCTAGGCTATTTAATTTATGCTTTAACGTAGTTAACTGCTTTAAGAACGTTTTGTTCTTGAAACTCCATGTGGTAAAAATGCAGCGGCACGCTGTTTACTTACCCAGTTGGCCATTTAGCCTACCAAAATCAGTTGGTTATAATAATTTAATGATAGATAAAAAATAACACTAAAAGACTATGTTCACGATGGTAATAGATGAGATTTGTCTCATCAACCAAAACCAATTTGGTTTTATAGTAAACGGAGAATAACCTTGAAAATAATGTTCACAATGGTTATAGATGAGCGAGAATGCACAGGAGCCCCAAGGGCTCGTGCGAATTTCTCACCTAAGACTCTGGACGAGTCAAATTATTTTCAACTTGGAAGCAATCGACAGCAGCAATATAAAGAGGTAGGTAATATTGTCGATGGTTGATCAAAATTTTAATACAGTAGCCTACGTTTTAAGTTTTAGCTTATAGCATAGAATGTAAGATTATTTTACTTAGTAAAGACAAAAATATTTTTATAATTTAGGGTTTGTCTAGATTATTTAGGGTTACAGTTATGGTTTATGAAAGCAGTCCTTATAGCAAGTTTTTTGTCCCTCAACTTGAAGTTTGTAGACGCTTGTACTGATTGGGTTATAGTTTGTCCTTCTGTGCTCTAACTGCCTAAGTGCTTTGTTTGTTTGGAAGTTTAACTTGATCGCTTGGTAGTGAATTGTTTGGTGCTAGTAATGGATATAAACTGTTTTCTAACCTCTTGCTAATAACCATATTCCAAAAGGTTCATGTTTGGGTGTCCTTTTTTCGGATTAGTGATGTTGGAAACATTAAAAATTAAAACTCTCTGTAGGCCTATATATTTTTTTTATAAAATTTATTTAGGCCTATAGGTTTCTATTAAAATTATAAATGTTACGATACACTATGGTACATCAATCAATTCTTTATTGACGTTTCTTTAAGAAATAGGCCTACTATTAGTGTCATCAGGGGCATCGCACAGAAAAAACATTGGGGCGGAGACACTTTGAATTTTCCAACTATTTTACGCGGATTTCCCAACTATATTGTACAAATTTTCCAACAATATTACTTGGATTTCGCAACTATATTACTTGAATTTCCTATTTACTTAGATTTTCCAACTAATTAATATCAAGCTTTAACAGTAAGAAGGATGCATATTTCACCTTCAAAGCCCCTTTATAGCTACACATACGGTACAAATGTAACAAAAAATGAAGGTTTCTCTTGAATGTTGATTTGACTGAATTTGACTTCATTTTTGATTGAAGTGTCTCAACAAATGTTCACACTGTGGTATAGTGATCTGATCAGTAAATACTAAGTTTACAGCCCCTTAAAATCATTTTTTTAACAAACATTAAGTGGATATGCTCCACGCGCAGCTCAGAAAGAAATTTTCTAAAAGCATTGAATTGCAGCTGTGTACCTACTACAGATGTTGTGTAACGTACTATAACTCATGATGGTATGGCCTCTGGATCGTCTGAATTAACGTATAGTGGTTTATGTTACCTTGTTACTGTCCAAAACGATCCTTTGTAGTTATGACTAACAATGGTTTGTTATGTATAATTCTTCATAACAAACTACAAAGGATCGTTTTGGACAGTAACAAGGTAACATAAACTACTATACGTACCATAACTACTCAATATATGAAATTTCCAACACTCTTTTAACTTTGTTAGTTTATACATAGTTAGTTTGAAAATATGCCTTTAAGTCTTCAGTTTAACGACAGTTTCAAAAACTTCCAAAAATCCCAACTCATACCTTCAAATAACTAAAAAATTCCCAACTTTTGGATCAAAGAACTCCTTTAGTGGTTACGTAATTGTAATGTAATTGCTCTAATTACTGAAATTGAAATTAATGATCGTTATATTAAGCCGAATATTGGTTATTTGCTACACAAAAACTAAATATCCTTATGAAATATTTTATTGAAAAATTTTTTAAAAAATTATGTTGTTCGGAGTGCATTTTTAGTCTAGAGTTATCAAAACTCAGCATTGACAATCTGAGATGGCAAACAGAATTATTTGTCAGACCTTGGGTTTGGTGGTTAGCCTGTGGTAATCTTGCTATGAGCCTGATGAGCTACCTTGAATTAAATGACTCATCATCTTTTATCTTAGTACGCTAATAATTCTCCAAGCAAGTTTTGATGGATGTTTTTTATAAGTGCACATTTCCCCAAACTTCATACATACAATCACGACGATTTTATCTCTACGTTAGCTTTCTGGCTAATTCTTTGGTAACACAAAACATGCATTTTCACTATGAAGTGTTTAAATCTTAATTAGTTAACAAACTTAATTATTTGATTAGAATGCAATAGAATCAAGAAAGTAGTAACTTTTACATGTTAACATTAGCCTAACATGTTTTTGGATCTAACAACAATAACAACATTACCTCCCACAAAACAAAATTAAAATATGTAATACAACTTCAATGGTTCGAAACTAGACCCAGCTGTTCCTGATCATTGTGCTTTAAATTAATGAGCTTGACTAATGAAACAGCTGATATTAGTCAGTAACAAAGCTACACAGATCATCTCACACCATTCTACACTCATATTTGGGTTAAAAATACACACAAGGTGATGACCCCATCTCATTTGATTGATTGACAATATTGTAGGCTAGAAAGTGTATTGGTTAGAAAGTGCATTTTAAT